GACTGATTTGGAGGACACAGAGCTAGAAACTGCAGAGCACACCAGCCTTGTAGAGGTCAAGGGAGGGAATGATAAGAGCCTTGGGGGGCCTTTGGTACCCTGGTCTGATCAGAAAGGCTTCCTAGAAGAGGTAACATAGGAACCACAGCGGTAAGGATTGGGGGAGGGCCAAATAAATGTACTCATGTTGCATGTTCAGGGGAACTCCCAGACAGTGTAAAAGTGGGACTTGTGATTCTGGGGCCAGCCTTCAGGGCCCTCCTGAGACACAATATGGTCTAGAGGAGCCTTTTAGGTTGAAGGGAAGGGCCTCTCAACCCATGCGTCTACTTTGTAGTCTCTAGCTAGACACCAGGGGGAGGGATGGGATATCTTTGCATTACAGAAGGCTATTCCTCAACCCACAGCATCCTTAATAAAATTGTATGCACATTTTATAACATGGTACAGCTCATATTATTTCTGTTTATCAGAACTTCAGATTTGGCTAATCTGCCAAACGTAAAATCAATATTTTTTAGTCTTTTTAATTTTTTTATTTAGTTAGTTTTTTGTTTTTTAAAATATTTCATGTATTATTTATTTTATTTTATATGTATGAGTATATTGTCTGTGTGTGTATAAGTGTATCCATGTCATGCAGTGCCCTCAATGGTTGGAAAAGGGCACTGGATTCTCCTGGAACTGGAATTACAGGCAGTTGTTAGCTGTCATTTGGGTGCTGGGAATCAAACCTGGGTCTTCTACAAGAGTAGCCAGTGCTCTTAACCACTGAGCCATCTCTCCAGCCCCCTGATTTATTTGTTTTTAGTTTATGTGTATGAGTGTTTTGCCTGCATGTAAGTGCACCATGTGTATGCAGTGCCTGCAGAGGCCAGAAGAGGGTGTCTGATCCCCTGGAACTCAAATTGTGGATGGTTGTGAGCCACCATGTCTGTGCTGGGAACCAAACTCAAACACTCTGTAAGAGTGGTCATAGCTCTTAACCACTGAGCCATCTCTCCAGTCCCTTTTCTACCCCGTTTTTAGCTTTGTTATTTCCTTAAACTTAATTTTGATTTTTTTTCTCCTTCATTGCTAGGGATGAAACCCCAGGGCGTTGTCTGTGCCAGGCAAACAGCCCACCACTGAACTATACCCCTAGCCCTAAACTTTAAATTTTTTAATTATGTATTTATGTATCTCTGTGTGTGTGTCTATGTGTGTGCATGAGTACAGGTACTTGCAGAGGACAGATTCCAGATCCTCTAGAGCTGGAGTTACAGGTAGTTGTGAGCTAACCAATGTGGCTGCTGGGAAACTAAACTTGGATCCTCTGAAAGAGCAGTGAGCACTCTTAATTGCTGACCCATCTCTCCAGATACACCTAAGTTTTTTTTTTGAGGCAAGGTCTCTCTGTGGAGACCAGCCTGGCCGCAAACTCCTGATTCTCCTGCCTCAGTCTCCCATATGCTGGAATTATAGGCGTGCACTACCATGTCCAACTAATATTTCTTTTCTAATTGAAATTCACAGTCATTTTGAGCCCTTCTGTCTGTACTAGTCCAGGTGTGTGTGTTTCTTTTCATTGTGCATGTATGTACGTGTGTGTGTGTGTGTGTGTATGTGTGTGTGTGTGTGTGTAGGTAGGTATATGTGTATATATATATATATGGAGGCCAGAGATTGACATTGGCTGTCTTCCTCAGTCTCTCTCCACCTTACTTTTATTTTTTTATGTGTATGTGTATGAGTGCATTGCTTGCATGTATGTGAGTGCACCTGTGCCGTGCAATGCCGCAGAAGTCAGAAGAGAGTTTCAGATTCCCCTGGAACTGGAGTTAAGGACAGTTTGTAGCTGCCATGTGGGTACTGGGAATCGAACCCTGGTCCTCCGCAAGAAGTCAGTGCTCTTAACTGCTGAGCCATTTCTCCAGCCCCCACCTTACATTTTTTTGAGGTGGGATCTACCACTCCCCAATTCAGCTGGTCTGGCTGACCAGCAAGCCTCAGGGATCCTCCTGTCTGTATGGCTCCAGCACTGGGCTTATAGGTACATGCTGCCATACCCAGTTTTTATGTGGGTGCTGAGGACTGAATTCAGGTCCTTATGCTTATCCAGCAAACATTTTACTAACTGAGCCATCTCCCCAGTTCCTTTGTTCATTTTTCTAACTATCTCTGACTCTTGGCCAAATGTCCAAAATAAAATTGTTTGAAAAATTTCCAGCCACAGGTCCATTAGTTAATAACTCAGAGGCACCACCCTTGTGCACCATTAAAACATTTATGCAGGGCTGGAGAGATGGCTTAGCGGTTAAGAACACTGGTTGTTCTTGCAGAAGACCTGGGTTTGAATCCCAGCACCCACATGACAGCTAACAACTGTCGGTAACTCCAGTCCCAGGGGATCCGACAGCCTCTTCTGACCTCCGCCAGCATTGCACAACACGGGTGCACTTACCTACACGCAGGCAATACATGCATACACATAAAATAAAAATAAATAAAATTTTTTAAAAAAATTATGCTCATTGTCAGGGCAGCTGTGTCTGCCACCTACGTTACTTTCCCTGATATTTTGCTTGCTGGAAGTTTATTTTCATCAGCCGTGTGTGTGTGTGTGTGTGTGTGTGTGTGTGTGTGTGTGTGTATGAATTCATGGATGAAAGTTTTATCAAGACACTTGAAGTCCTACAGGGTGCCCAGCAGTTTTTTTTGGCCAGGCACAAAACAGACAAGACAAGATCCCTTGGGGGTGGGGGGTAGAAGCTCCAGTCAAGGGACATAAAAGTGGCAGTCACCTGGGGAATTGGTCTGATCAGTAACATGTTTGAGTGCATGCAAACATAGAAGGTGCATGTTTTCATGAGAAAAAAAGAAAAGAAAACTAGGCATTGTGGAGCATAACTGTAATCTCAGCACTCTGGATGCTGAGGCAGAAGGATTAAAAATTTGAGAACAGCCTGAGTTACCAAGGAGACCCTGTCGTTTTTGTTAAGCCAGGTATGGTGGCACTTACCTATAATCACAGCATTTGAGAGGTTTAGGCAGGAAGATCACAAGTTCAAAGTCATCCTTGGCCATATAGCAAGTTCTTAGCCAGCCTGGGATACAGGAGACCCTGCTGCTCCCCTCCCCACCAAAAAAGAGGACAGATGCTGCTTTCGGTCAACTTTCTGCAAATAATAAAGTGACATTTTGCATCCTTACCGGGGCAAAAATAAAAAGCAGGGGCTATCAGGAGCAGGAGCATTTATCTCCTGCTGGACATTGGGCCTTCCTGTCAGGCAAATCTGCCTGAAGAGGTCCCATCCCAGAGTCAGCCTTGCTTGAATTCCACTGTGAGCTGAAGAACTTTAGAGGAAGGACCAGGAGTGAGTCCTTTCATCCGTCTGCCTTGGTTTCCCCTAGGGGAAAAGCAAGCAGGAGTCTGTCCACTCATCCATCTGGCTCCACCTGGATCAGCTGCTCTGTGCCTCTGTTTCCAGGTCTGTTAGAACTATCTGGCCCCAGCACTGCAAAAATAAAATCAAACAAGACACATATGGGGTAGAGTGCACAGGAGCAGACTGGGAGTCAGTGCTAAACAAGAGTTAACTGCTGTTTTGTCTACCTTGTAGGGTTATGCTGGACCTTGGAAAGCACTGAGCACAAGGCCTGGTTCACAGCACTCTCTCCTCTTCCTCAAGCACCCTAATCCTTGCTGCACCTAGGGCTGCAAACTCCCTTTCTTATATCCTGTAGGAGGCACTTACCCCTATGCCTGGGCAGGTCACAAGCCCCTGAAACCCTTAAGGAGGCAGCCTAGCCTGAACAAAAGTCCTGCACTGGGACCAGAGCTGGGCCAGGCAGCCTCCCTGCTGGGGACTGGCCAGAGAGACCCGTCTGGTTTGAGTTCCCGGCGCCTCTCGCTCTCTGCCTCAACCCACAGCCCATGTCCAGGCTGCCAGGCCTGTGCCTTATTTGGGTCTTGTCTCCCCCCCAAGATGACACTTCATGGCCTTAAAAGGCAGGCGCAGGGGGTAGATGGGCAGAGGAGGGCATTTACCGCCTTTGGCTGGAGAATCCCTCCAGCTGTGTGGAAAACCAGGCCTGTGAAACCAGACCAGCCAGGCCGGGTAATCCTGGGTATGGTGGGGGTGGGCTCCTGGAACAGGCAGCCAACTTCCCTCTGGCTTTCATTTAAACATTTGAAGCCACTTTAGTCACTCCCTACCAAGTAGGGCAGGGAGAGCACACATGGCAACTGGCACAGTATCATTTATTGAGGGTCTACCGTGTACCTATGCCCTATGTGTGCACAGTGGGCCCTTTACATACATCACCTGCACCAAGGCCTTATTGCTGTTTTACAGATGGGGAAATCAGCAGGTCTAGAAAGGATAGGTCACATAGGCCAGTAAAAGACAGAGCTGGGACCCAAGTTTGTCTGTTACTTCTGAACTCTTTTTTAAAATATTTTATTTATTATTTTTATTTTATGTGTATGAGTGTATTGCCTGCATGTATGTGAGTGCACCCGTGTCATGCAATGCCACGGAGGTCGTAAGAGGGTGTCGGATTCTCCTGGAACTGGAGATACGGATGGTTCGTAGCCACTATGTGGGTGCTGGGAATCAAACTCAGGTCCTCTGCAAGAGCAGTCGGTGCTCTTAACCACTGAGCCATCTCTCCAGCCCCCTGTTACTTCTGAATGCTTAACCCGTGTCATTGGATGGGGTCATTGGGGAAGCCTACAGCCTGTGTGAGGCCCCACACAATGGAACTCTCTATGTAAACCAGGCTGGCCTTAAACTAACGAGAGATCTACCTGTCTCTGCCTCCTGAGTCGTGGGATTAAAGTCGTTTGCCACCACACTCAATTCCATCAAGTCACTTTGTTCAGCTGCCTCCCTATTGCTCCACCTTCCTGCATTAAGGGGAACAGAGACCCCTGCTAGGGTGACAGCAGCAGGTAGAGGTGTCTGATGAACAGTACAGATCATGGGACTCCTACTGCACCGTCCTTCTAATTGCAGGCTCCTCTGGCTTTGTGGAGCCTTCATGGTCAGGCAGCACCATGCAGCGGATGGCACTTCGGCCTGCAGCCTTCTCAGGTAGGTCCTGGAGCAGCTTCTTAGGGACCCCAGGGCTGAGAGAGGTCTAGAGGGGACCCAGGGCAGTATGGTAATTGTCCCTAGAAGCCAGCTGGGTCAAACAGTAGAAGGTTAAGGACAGAACTTCTTCACTTCAAGCCCAGCTGGAAAGAGGCTTCAAGGTGCAGAGGAATGCCCAGGGGGGAAGTCTGACTTGGACCAGGTACCCTGAACCCCTGGATTCTTGGAGCTACTGGCCCATTCCCTCAGTTTCCTTCTTTCTTATTCTCTGCTTTTCTGTTAGCGTGGGAGGCCCAACCCAGGTGCTTTCCATTATCAGTTCAAACATAACAGCAGCCCATGACTCCCACAAGACCCCCTTGAAGCTGTTCTAAAGAGCAGGAAACTGAGGGTCAAGTGGAGCCTTGCCCTGCCCAAAGCCTGGTAGCCAAGGAGCAACTCCAGGCCTGGATCCTTTGTGCTGTGCCTCAATGTGTTAGCCATTTACTGCACTCTGTGAACTCAGGTTCCTTCTGTGTGACACTTGCCTAACACGTAGGGCTATGGGGAGGACCAGAGCAACCAGCCTCTAAAGGCTCCATAAATGGCCAGAACTGCCATGAACAACTGGTTTCTTACCAAGGTGATCAGAGAAGGTGGAATGTGGCTTTGTATCAGAGTCTGACAATGGCACCTGTGAGCCAGTAGCATCTGTGTTGGTGCCCAAAGCTGGCAGGCTCATGCCTCACCCCACCCAGTGGCAAACAACAGGATTTCCCACTCTGGCTTCTAGGAATGGATACATTTGTGGTATTAAGGCTGTCAGATTCAGGGCCCAGATCCTGCTCTAGGAGACAAGGTTCCTGCTAAGGAGGTTCTAGAATGGGAGAAGATGTGATCCACCTAGACCTACAGTAATTCTTAGCCCTTGCAGCCCAGCCCCACACTGTCCCCCCTCATGGGTTAGGTTTGTTAGTTATCTGCCTCCCTCTCCCCAGACTCTGAACCCCTAGCTGCAGCCTCCCTGTTCCCCACAGGTTGTTTCAACTGCAGCAAAGTGTCTGAGCTGACAGAGAGGCTGAAGGCGCTGGAGGCCAAGGTGGGTGAGCAGCCCCCCTCTTGCCCTGGCTCTGGGGTCCCTGGCTTCCCTCCACCCATTCCTGCATCCCCATGTCCATCTTCTGAGCTGCCCTTGGGGCTCATCACCAGTTGGGCAGACAGTTTCCCAACAGGCATGGCCCAGTCCCTGCTTGGTCTCCATCCAGTTTTTTGGCCTGTTCTCTGGTCCTCAGTTGTCCTCCCTAGGAAGCTGGTGCACACTTCTACCAGTTTGGCCCACTGTCCTTTCAGGAGACCATGAAGCACCCCCCCCATGGCGCCCAGCCAGATAAGCAGAGACCCACCCCAGGTATACTACTGGACCCTGCCTGGTTCTCCCTTCCTTTATCCTGCCTCTATAATACCATCTTCCAGTTTCATAATTAAAATGATCATTGCATATCTCACATTATCGAAAAATAAAAAAGTATTTAAAGTTATATTTTAAAAGGGGGCTGGAAAGATGGCTCAGCAATTAAGAGTACTGGCTGCCCTTGCAGAGGACCCAAGTTCATTTCCCAGCACCTACATGGCAGCTAACAACTGTCCATAACTCCAGAGAATCTAATGCCCTTTTCTGGAATCCATGGACATTGCAAACATGTGGTGTACATGCATACATACATATACACAAACATTCATTCACATAAAATAAAAAGTATGTTTTTTAAAAATATTTTTCTTTTTTTTTCTTTTTTTTTTTGTCTTTTTGAGACAGGGTCTCCCTGTAGCCCCAGCTGTCCTGGAACTCACTATGTAGGCCAGTCTGGCCTCAAACTCACAAAGATCCACCTGCCTCTGCCTCCCAAGTGCTGGGATTAAAGGCGTGCACCTTTATTTTATATATTTTATAAATATTTTATTTATTATTTTTATTTTATGTGTTTGAGTGTATTGCCTGCATGTATATGAGTGCACACGTGTCGTGCAATGCTGCAGAGGTCAGAAGAGGGCTTCAGATTCCCCTTGAACTGGAGTTAAGGATGGTTCATCGCAGCCGCCATGTGGGTGTTGGGAATCGAACCTAGGTCCTCTGCAAGAGCAGTCAGTGCTCTTAACCACTGAGCCATCGCTCCAGCCCCAAAATAAGTACTTTTTTAAAGTTACTAAAAAGAGTGTAAGCAAGACTCTAAATGTAGATGCCTGAAATACTCAGAAATCAGGAAAACTTGCCAGAAAATCATTTGTAGAAGCTACCCATGTCCCCCAAAAAAGCAACTGTTACCCTTTTCATTTTTCTCTTTAAATTAAAAAAAAAAAAACATTTATCTATTTACTTTGTGTTTCTGTGTACCTGTAAGCATGCATTCCACAGTATGCGTGTGTGGAGGTCAGAGTTGCAAGAATCAGCTCTCTCCTTCCAACATGTGGGTCCCAGGAATCAAACTCAAGTCATCAGACTTGGCTGCAAGCACCTTTGCTTACAGAGCCATTTTCCCGACTCCCTCTATGCTTTCTTTTTTAGAAATTCTACTTGTAGTGTATATGTCCAGATGTTTTGCCTGCATCTATGTAAGTGCACCCATGCATTCAGTGCCCACAGAGACCAGAAGAGGGTGTTGGATCCCCTAGAACTGGAGTTAAGGATGGTTGTTAGCCACCATATGGGTACTGGGAACTGAATCCAGGTCCTCTGCAAGAGTAGCAAGTGTTCCTAACTGCAGAGCCATCTCTCCAGTTCCTTCTTTTCTTTGTTTGAAAGAGGATCTCATGTATCCCATACTGGCCTCAAACTTGCTCTACAGCTGAGGATGACTTCCTGCTTCCACCTCCTATGTGCTGGGATTACAGGTGTGTACCACCATTCCTGGTTTATGTGGTGCTGGGGATCCCACCCTGGGTTTCATGTTACGCAAGCATTCCCAACAACTGAGCAACATCCTAGCCTCTGCCCTGTTTCCTTTCTTTTTCTTTTCTTTTTTTCTAGAATATTTTATTATTTTTATTTTATGTGTATGAGTGTATTGCCTGCATGTATATGAGTGCACCTGTGTCGT